ACTACAATGTACTCCTTGGTCCTGCTAATGTTTGGGAATAACTTTTAAAAATTTTTTTTAACAGGACCAGAGCCTCACCGAAGTAACAGGCAGACTTGTAAGGAGGTTAGCTGGGAGAGCAGCGTTGAGCTCGCAGTCCCCGCGAGTGCTGAGGAGGTGATGCCAAGCACTCCCGATGTTCCACAGGGAACGGCCTCGCCAGCAGCCAGCTGGGAGCCAGGCAGGGATGCCCGTGCTGCAGAGGGCCCCCCGCTGCAACCACCAAACCCTCCCATGCTACAGGAGGAGCCCTTGGTCAGCTCAGCACCAGATGGGTATGTCCTTATGTATTTTCTCTCTGCCAGTACTCATTCGTTAGTGTGTGCCCTGGAGGTTGCTTTCACAGCTTGGTTGATGTGTGGCACTAAAGCTCCCATACAAGTGGGCAAACTTCTTACCTATTTAGTATCTCACTACCTCTGTGCTAGCGGTTAAATGGCTTCATGCAACTCATTCAGGTCAGACTTGGACAAGTTAAGTATGTTTGTTAAAATGCGATAGATGTTCTTTGAATGTATGCCAATCTTATTTCAACAGGTTTGCATAATAGTACATATAATTTACTAAACAGCATATTTTGTGTGGATTAAGAAATGTAACCAACTGGAAATTTTGAGTGTTTTGTTTGGAAATAGCAGAGAGAGAACAAGAGGAAGAATGAGGAAAGTGCGACACAGATGCATGGCTTGTCCCTGCTACCGTGTGAAAGTGGTGGGGGTTTTATTGCCACTAACTGCAATACCGGAGTATCAGCTGTAATATTAATCATGGCTGGATTTTCAGCCTTGCAACACCCTTGTAAGACAGGGAAGCGCATCTCCATCCTGACGGGGCAATACCTACTATGAGATGGTCCCTGGGGTTTGCCCAGGTTGCATGGGAGAGCTGGCTTTGCTCCCTCGCTGTGTTCAAACAGCCCTGTGCCACCACCGGTCACCCTTTCCTGGGTGCCCACCTTGTCTTGCCGCATTGCTGCGGGAGCATCCCTCCCACTTTTATCTCCTGTCTCTTAGTTCTTCTGAAAGTCCACGTGGTGCTTGTTCCCTCTGCAGCGCTTCATGCCCATGTCCCCCTTCACCGTGGCCACCCGACTGCTGCCCGACTCCACAATTTTGTGACTTACAACTGCTGCCTTTCTCTTGCTCACTCTCCTTTAGCAGCATACTTCTCTTTTCTTGTCCTCTATGTCCTCCTCACCATCATATTCCTGCCCCCAGTCACAACGGATCTATTGAAGAAAACCTTTTCTGCAGGCACGTGCTGCATTCCTTTGGGTCTCCCTACCTTGTGTGAGCACTAATCACATGCAAGATGCTTCTAGCTGGAGCAGTTACTGCCCCATAACTAGTATCTAGTTTAGGTGGTGGCTGTACGTTGGGGAGAGACCACATAGAAAAGAAACCAGCATTTTTACCACTAGAGAATGAGGAGTACTCTTTTGCTGGTTGTTTTTTTTTCCCCCTTTTTGGTTGTTTGCAGCTTTTAAATTTGCTTAACGTGTCTATTCTTCCTACGTTCATGGTCATGCCATCTTAGGTACTGATTTCAATATTAGTTTGTATTTTAATAGATGACAGCTGAGCAGAAACTGGTGGCCATCAATATACACTTCTGTAACTTTATCGTTTCACATTTGCATCAGGCTGTTGCTTGCTATGGAAACATCATCTAATTTACATCTAAATAGCTTTTACCCAGTTTTTCTTTTGTATAACACCTGTTAATCATAACACTTTGTGGGGAAGTTGCATAGAGTGCCTGCCTTTGCTAGAGAAGTCATAGCTGAGCGATGGTAATTTAACCTTTTGTTCTTTCCCTGTCGATGTTAGTGATGCCTCGCTGTCCGTAAACTGATGAAAATATTGTGCAATGCTCTTGAAACTCAGCTAAATTATACAAAAGGTTTCACTGCTCGTATTATCTCCGGAGCACGACTGAAACCAGAATGTGGAGGCTTCCTCTCACATTATGCCAAGCTGAATACCTCCGTTTCTCAAGGCCATGGAAGTGGGATCACCACTGTTAGCTGTTTCTGCAGAAAAGATACAAATTTTAATTTGTTTAGCAGAAAACTACAATGCAGATCAAATTTCAAAAATGGCAGGCATAGAAGATCTCATGGAGGGATAAGCAGCCTTTCCGTTGTTGCGTTTATAACCAGGTGGGCTTTTCAAGTCCATCTTTCCCTTGCACATGAAATCCAGGGTGCGTGGTTGAGCCTTGGAAAATAATTCATGAGCTGAAAATCTTGGGGAAAATTTCCAAGCCATTAGTACAGGAATTTTGATTATATAAATTACAGAAACTATGAGAATGCAACTTTTTTTGGTCTGAATATATCGTACCACAGATCCGCAAAATGAATAATATCACAGGTCTTGCAATGTTCTTTCAGTCTGTATTTTTTCTCTTATGAAATTTCTATGATGGCTGAAGAAATATGCTAAAATTATGCGAAACGATGCATATTTGTCATCTTAAACTGAAATATCTGTAGCTTGGACTTTCCCAGTGCAGCAGTGGCACTGCTGTGGGATCCAAACAAAGTACCATTCCTTTGCCTGTCATCTTCGGGCCACTCATATGCTTTTGGTGTATTATTGAAATTAGTACAAGTGATGGAGTTGAAAGGAGCTCTCGTGTGCAGAGACCACAGCTTACTCGAGAGGCAAAACAAAATCGTTGTTGCATATCAGGAAGTCACAAGTTTACATTTTTGGAGAAAAGGCCTTTCCTACCTTACTGTAGAGATACCATTTGCTCTTTTAAAAAAAAAAAAGTTTTGGTTTTTTTTTCCCTGCAGTAAGGGTTTGCAGGTCATATTTTACCTCTGGGTCAGTTCAGCCTAGTTTCAAACTGCTTTCTCCAGCTAGAAGAACGGTTATCATGATAACATTGTTGAGTTGTTAACCAAATAAAGGTGATGTTGCTATGAAAGGTTATTTAGCATAAGATTTGCGCCTTGGTTGCAGTTCACAGTTAGGGGGCTGCAATTTTGGTACCGTAGTTATTAAAAATTATGATTTTTGGCAAATAACTTCTGTATTTCTGAGCGCTGCTGGGTGGGTGCATTGATCGTGGTCTGTACACATGCATTTTTTTCAGACCCACATGAGAGCCTGAGCTGTGTATTTTCCCTTCAGGTCTTGCAGCCCAGGGCCCCGCTGGTGAGTGGGGGGCTTGCTGGGCTTGTTCGAGCGGCATAGTTGAAGCCACCCGATAGCTCTGGTCCTCGGCTGCTTGCTGCCGG